AAGGATACATGATCAATATTGTCACATGACGACGTGGGGCGATGGAGGAAATTAAGTATACTCTTTATCGACATGATCGTGACATTTTTATGACTTCAAAGCCCATTAAAATCAGTTCATTTATTGGATTATGCTAATTGTCCTAGAAACCGCTTACGATAATGAGTGGGGGGAGTGGGGGCGGGGGCCATTAATATGCTTAGTGTCCCAGAAGCCACGTTTCCATACTACTCATACTGTTTAAAGTAGGCGTTATTTTTCTGAAAAAAGGACCCTGCAATTTTTTGGGGCTCAACCGGAATATAGCCTACCATTCGACAGAACTTTCAACATGGCAAAAACACGTGGAGTGCGGTGTAAGCAGAGAGCTGGTGAAATTGAGCAAATCGGCTAGATATCGTCAAATCGTCATAAACAAAGAAGGCTGACGTTGAAAGCAGACACAGTTGGTGGCTTTTGCGAAGACAAGAACTTGGAGAACTAGCGGACAAATTGCTGAAACGATTAAGAGGCATCTAGGAGAAGCAGCAGACACGGGCTGAAATTAGTGGAGATACAGCGAGGAAGATATTTGATCTGGTGCGGTCATCGGAGCATGCGTACAGGATTGTGCAAGTAGAAGGCTGGTGCACAGATCTTGGCAGCAGACGAAGACATCCAGAAAGTTCCAGTTGAGTTTGGAAGTCTTCGTTGTATGTTTGACGCTACAAAAGCTGGAAGCGTGGGAAGGAAATACGATGATGAACAAAAGCGACATCATTGAGCGAGTGGCTGAAGTTTATTTCAAGTCGTTTGTAAAGTAGTGGGGTAACATCTATTTACAATTTGCTTTTAATACTACATTTAAGAAAACATTGTTTAATCTTAATCATCTAAATGACAAAAATGAATAAATGGAGAGAAGCGAGATCTTGGCATTGTGAGTTGAAGAGTTGCGTCGGAAGTTGTCGGATTTGCAAATGGGTACGACTGAATTGAAAGCAGATTTGCAAGGGAGGTTGTTGACATACAATGGTCTAAATAACGAGGGTGAGTCGGAAACGGAGGATAATGGTGAAGATGATATATCAGTAACGTCCGCAGAACCCACTATAAATCGGCCAAACGCAGCAGGTTTGTATTAAGGACTAGGAAATGAAAGGCAGGGTAGATCATGGTTCACGTTGAAAGATGTCGACGGCAGTGTTTTGCAGTTTTCTGGGTCGAGTTCTCCAGATATAAGCCAATGGATAGGGGAGTTGGAAGATTGTGCAGCTATGCAAAACAGTTGCTTAGTGGAGCAGCAAAGATGTTTGTCAAACACTGGGCAAGTTTGAAATCGGCTGTGTTGGAAAAGTTCGGAATCAAGTTATCCTCAGCAGAAGTTCATCGCAGGTTAGGATAACGACAGCAGCATAAGGATGAACCCTTGCACGAGTTATGTTATGCACTTATGGAAATTGCAAGGCCAATTTGCTTGGAGGAGAAACTTTGATCGAGTATTTCGTTGAGGGTATCCCACATGCTATTAAATTAAATTAAAAATCACGTGCATCATCCAAACCAGTAAACAAGTATGGTTTACAGGGTAGCAAGTCTGTGCACGACACAAGACAAGATGCGGTAGCTGGATCAGTCAGAATATGTTTTCTGTGCGAGGATTCGTCGCACATAAAGAAAGACTGTCCTGTGAAGGATAAATGTTTCAAATGCGATCAACCAGGACAGCGCAGTATAAAGCAGAAGTACAGGTCAAAACAAAGAGAGCAACCAATGTCGTTCAGGATGATAAAGTCTTTTCACAACCATCGCGTGAGTCTTTTTCTTCGAGCTTGGAATTGAAATCTGTGATTTGCAGGAATTCAGAATTCAAAGGACTTGTGGACACAAATGCTGAACTGCGGTTGATGCGTAGGCGTGTGTTCTTGAAGCTTGGCGTTGGAGTAGGCAGTCTGATGGGTCGTCAGAGAGTTTTGATAGGTATCGGTGAAAATCAGGTGCTAACATTCGGAAGCGTCATTACAAACGTTGTTATCGATAGAATTGATATGTCGGTCGAGTTTCATGTCATACCAGAAGACAATATGAAGTTTGACGCAAGCTTATGCACAACAATCTTAAAAGGCGTTGACATGATGGTAACCAAGTCTGGCACTATATTTTCGCCAAGAGTTCGAAGTGTTGAGCATCCATCACTTATGGAAACCGAAATTACCCAGAACAGTCACAAGCAGTCCAGAATAGTTATCATCCAAGAAAACTAAGGATTTGATTGAGAAGTCGTATTATATTCCGAAGCTAAAAGATAAAGTAGCGCGAGTGGTCGGTAGCTGCGTATTGTGCATCCTTGTGAATGCGCAGGCTGGTAAATAAGAAGGGTTCCTTACACCGATAGACAAAGGAGACAAGCCGCTCGTCACATACCACGTCGATCCTGTTGGTCCGATGGAGCTAACCAAAAAACGATATAATCACATCTTCGTGATTGTAGATGCTTTTTCCAAGTACATATGGTTGTATCTTACACGAAGCACAGGGGTTAAAGAGGTGCTGACTTGTATGGAGCGCCAGGCTGATTGTTTTGGAAATCCGTATAGGATAATGTCAGATCGTGGAGCTGCATTTACATCATGTTCAACGAGTACTGCGATACAAAGAAGATAAAACATTTACTGATTGCAACAGGCGTACCAAGGGGAAACGGACGAGTAGAACGCATGCAGAAAATAGTTGTTCCGATGCTCTCCAAACTATGCCTTGAAAGCCCAGGTGCTGGTATAAGCATGTAGGTAGGGTACAGCAGATCAAACTTTCTTTTGGGTCAATCGATAGGTATTGATGAGACCAATACATTTCAGTTAAAATTTTTACTTTAGCATCAAATCTGTAGGAGCCACAGTTTTTGGCGGTTTGTGGGCGTTAGAGTGGGCGTGGCATTTCTGAAACAAACTTGCGCTGCACAGGAATATCAGGAATCTTCATGCCTAATCCAAGTATTATAGTTTCCGAGATCTCAGCGTTCATACGGACATGGCTAGATCGACTCGGCTAGTGATCCTGATCAAGAATATATGTACTTTATGGGGTCGGAAATGCTTCCTTCTGCTTGTTACATACTTTCCGACGAATCCAGTATACCCTTTTACTCTACGAGTAACGGGTATAAGAATTAGCATTTTTGTGGATGTAGTTTTTAAATGGTATTTTCTGCATATTTCAAAGATGTCTTTTAAGTTTTTAAGCATATGTCTTGGGAGTGGAAATTTATCAGACAGAAGTTTTTTGTTGATTTGACGATAGTCAAATAGCCATTTCTTTTCGTTTGAACCCTGAGGGGCTTTCTTTGGGACAAGTAGAAGTGGGCTATTGTATCCAGATACAGATGGTTCGACTATATTGTCTTTAATTAATTTTCCTTTTTGTTTTTGAATTTCCTTAACTTGACTATGCGGGCATCGATAATTTTTTTCTATATAAATTGGTTCAATCTCAATTTCTGCTTGTAAAAATTATTTGTTGTTATTGATTCGGTTTCAAGACCGAATACGTCAGTATATTTTTCATATAGTTCCGTTAATTGTTGTTCGAATTGATCAGAAAAATTTAGTTTAGTTCTTCTATGATGTGTTATTCTCTATTTCTTGAAGTGTTTCGAATTACATTATAATCGGAAATTTGTTCACATTTTAAATTTGTTATACTAATCAATTGATCAGTAGTGGTTGTGTTGAGTAATCGGACAAATGTATTCTGTTTTGATGTGATAGTATTGGCAACGTAAATACCAGGTTGAATCTCATGATTTGGTATTAAAGTAGTATCAGACATATCGGACATTGTTTTGATTTTTCGTACTACTTGAGATCTGCTTGGTAGGAGAATTGTATTATTACCAGAAGTATAAGTTATTGTAATATAAATGTGAATTTCTATATTATTTGGTCTTATTATAACCCAATCCTCTGTAGGCTTAAGATCCATTTGGCAGTTTAATTCTTTTATAAAATCGAGTCCTATTATTCCATCACATGGAATAGCAAAATCTTGATTTACTATGTGAAAATTATATGGAATTATATATTTGTCTGTTTGGAGTTCTTTTGGAGCAAGACCTTTGGATTTTATGATTCCCTCACTTATTCCTTGAATATTTATTGTATTTTTAATTTGTATGTTGTTAAAGATATCTGCATTTTCTTTTAAAGGCGAAATATTTGCTACCGTATCCACAAGGAACGTTAGCTTGCTCCCCTGTTTCTGACTTAATAAATGGTATGAAACCGTTGGTATTATTCATTTCTCGTCTTTAAAGGGGTCTGTGAGTTTCCCGAAACAGGGTAAGGTGGCCATTATTGTTTTGATGTGTTTTGCCGTAGTTGCTGGTATTTTGGGTATTTTTGTTTCCTCTATAATTTCCACGTCCTCTTTTATAGTTATTGGTCTGGTTATTATAGTTTCGATTGTAACCATTATTTTGGTTCTATTTCGGTTGCAGCCGTTATATTCACTGATAAAAAAAACGTAGTAAATCCAAATATTTCATATTCAACCCAAATATTTTTCGCTTTGATTTTCATCCATTGCGGTTTTTATTAAATTTAAATATGCGCATATTAACCTTTTTTTCCATATTAAATTTAAATATTTTCGGAATAGATTTTAATATTTTAAATATTTAACTTAAATATAAGCCATATTTAAATTAAATACAATGCATATTTATATTTAATACAATGACTATTTGATTTTAAATTTTAAAAATTTGAATTAAATAGTACACGTGTTTAATATAAACAGAAACCATATTAAATTCTAAAATTTTAATAGTTAAATGAATAACCGAAACATTAAAATTCAATATAAGTTGTATTAAGATTCAATACTAGACATATTTATTTAAAATATGCCAATTGTAATATTAAATATGATAGGTATTCAAATATTTTTGATACACTAAAAAAAATTAGTACAAAAATTTTATTTTTGTTTTTTTTTGATTTTATTTAAACATACATTTTTCATAACGGCTTGCTGGAAGGTACAAATAATACAGTTACCCTTATACTTATTTTACAGAGATCTGTATACAACATATTTTTTAGCATTTATGTACATCATACATACATGTGCATTGGATGGCTTGAAAACTCTTCAATGTTTTTTAAGAACTAATACATTTTTAGAGATCAATCAAAATGTGAATGGTTAAAGATTTGGACCTGAAAGAAAACAACAAAAGAGCACAAAAAAAATAAATAAAAAGACAAAATCCGAATGTAGTCTGACTAAAATTATAAATTACCAATTCCGGCGCCCGCGAGTCAGCATATTTTGGCCATGCTTTCAAAAGCTCAGCTTATCGAAAGTTTTCACATCCTTACGCCGAGTATGGGTTTTATTCTCAACAGGAACCTCCAATATTTTATCCAGTTTTATATGCTTCGTTCTGGAATTTGTATATTTGGCATATATGTATGTTGGTTCGAGAATGTATTTGTTTGCCACTGCGAGGAATGATATAGAAAAAATGTATTATTTAATTTAAAACCTACTTTGCCGTATTCTTACTTTTAAAAATGTATTTATTTCTACGTTTTTTACTTATGTACCTATGACTTTGCCAGGAACGGTAAACGCACGCTGTGTGTGGGTAGATGTGTTGCAGAAAATGTACATGTGTGTGTTCGCCAGGGCACGCTCAACTTTGTTGGCGACCAAGCAACGGTAAACGCACGCTGTGGTATATGTATGTATGTGTGTGTAGCTGCACTTGAATGTACATATGTACATACGTTTCTGAGAACCGAAAAATTTAAGCCACTTTACAATTAATACAAACTTCACTTTAGTTAGATTTCTTTTTATCCACTGCGTGCATATGTATGTATATGTATGCGTGTGACCGCGCGCGCTAACTTGTTGGATTCTACGAAAACGAAGTACGGGTGGAATAATTTGATAATTTAAATTTGACTTTGTATGTATTTATTTATGTTTAGGCTATTTAGGCTATCACTTTAACAAAGCTCCGACACGTCCCACTTCTTTGGCTGCAATTATGAAATGGCAAGCGTCGTGCTGTGTTGAAGAAGCGGAATCAATTGTACATATGTACATATGTATGTATGGCCGAGTACAGTTCAAAGAAAAAGACAAGCCGCGATATATGTACATATGTCCTTTATGACTTTGAATGTTGCTGCCCACATACACACTTATTTATTTAAATAAACTTCACATCGATTTTTTGATAGCGCGATCAATTGTCCTTTTTGGCTTTGATACACACATTGAATATTATATTTTTATGTCGACTTCGCTTTAATAAAGGCCCGACACGTCCAACTTCTTCGGCTGCAACTTTTCAATGGCACGCGTCGTGAAGTGGTAAAGAAGAAGAGTCATTGATCAAAGCAAACGCGAAAGAATGAATGCGTGTAGCATAGAACAAAAGAAAACCGCCAAAAATTATCTTTGCGCCCTCGTTTGTTTTCTGCCCATTTACATACATGCTTATTTACATACATATGTATGCCAATTTACTTTAATGTACATATATCAATTTGTTTTTAAAAATGTGCATATAATGTTTGGTCTGAACAGTTTATGAAATAAATCTTTTTGTAAAAGAAGTCAGCTTAAAATTAAAATATTTATTTTAAATATTACCGTACTTAAAAACGGACAGGGCAGAAACTTATATTTAAATATGAAACATATTTAAAAGTTACAATAAAAATAAAATACATTTTAATTAATAAATTTGTATGTAAATATAAAAGATATTTTCTTGGGGTTTTCTTTTATTTGATATAAACATTGAAAAACCCTTTCAAATTGACACTTTCAATATTATTATTACAAACATTTTTATTTTAAACATTAAAAACTCTAAAATAAAATAATTTGAATACTTAAAATTAATATAAAACATTTTTAATTTAAATATGGATTTTTTTAATTCTGAAAATATTAACGATAAATATAATATTTTTTAAAATAAATATACCCAAATTTAAATTAAATATGCTCTTCTTTGAATTAAATATTTTTATATTAAACTAGGCAATTTAATATGTTTCGTATTTAATATAATGTTTTTTGTATTAAATTTAAATATGAAATATGAAATTTTGGATTCAATAGGCGCATATTTAAATTTACTATTCCATTTTTTTATCAGTGTTGGTAATACCCATTATATTGGTAGTTACCACGACCATTTCCTCTACCTCTTACCTCTGAAGTTGTTACCTCTATAGGCCTGTCCTTTTCTTGCAAATAGTATTGTATGTACTTGGTGACATCCTCATTCATTGATTAAAAGTTGCCTCCCTCAAGGATTGTTTTGAATCGGCCATGCTCACAATTTTTGACCAGTGTGTTTATAGCCTCCTTGGTACTGAATTTGTCTGCGCGTTGAGTGGGTAATCCTTCATAAAAATACGAAGCTTCAAGTAGCTTTGGTAAAATGTCAACTTCAGTTGTGAATTTTTCGGCTGTTTCTCCTTTTTAAGTAGTTTTTGCATTTTTGCTTTGACTACAACAGATGTTTCACCGGTAATGGTGTCTTGTAATTTTTTTTAAATTCCATTTATAGTAAATTCATCTTGCACTTTGTACAAAGTTTAGCCCACTATTTTTGATTTTATGACTTCAACAGCTATCTCTTTAAATGTGCCTTTGGTTAGGTTTGCTAATTTCAAGGCTGTGATAAATCTTTGAAAGTTGATTTTCTGTCCGTTGAATTCTGGGATAGCATTTGCTATATCCTTATTATTATTTTGTGTTTTCCGATTTGGCAATCGGAGTCAGCTGGTTCCTGATCTGAAACTTCAGATTGAAAAAGTACAGCTGGAATTGTAAGATTATTTAAGTCGTTCTCTTCTAATTCTAAAAAAAAGGTATTTAGATCCTTATAAAATTCTCTCTATTCCTTTATAATATGGTTATGAAATATTCTTGTATACTACTGAAATGCTAGTTCTACCTAATATGTCAAGATCGCTTGAAATTGCTCTCACATGGACACCCGGGATGGTGCTCAACATCATCGCTTTTTGTTTATTAGAGCAATGTTTTAATGGTATGCTTTCTAAATTACATGTTGACATATATACATTTTCTAACTCATAGATATTAATCGGAGTCGTTGAGACTAGTGTTATTATTATTTCACTAAAATTTGTTTTGTTTAACTACCTAGACTTGTGGCTATAAAATAAGAAATATTAATTTTTTTTGGCTATCAGTAATATTCAATAATGCTTTTAATTACAAAAGCCAAGTTTTTGTCTCGATTTTTTATCCAGGTCGTTTGCTCGACCCTGGAATCTCTTCTTTAAACACCTATTGTGTAATTTATAGACTTTTAGGAAAACGCTTGGTGACATTTTAATTACAATTATTATTAATAGTATTGGTATTGTTTCTAGATCAATATTTTGAGATTTAACTTTTTTAACGACGTTCGCCCTCGAATCGAAAACTTTTGTGTCTATAATACCCATATTGGGAATATTTTCCAAACTTCTATATTTTATGCCAAGTATATATGGCGAATTATTATTTTGAATTTCTTTTACTTTATTTATACTGTTATTCAAAAAGAAAATTAGGAAAGTAAAGAAAATATTGTGTATAGTCATTTTGTTACATGGCAGATTTACAATGTGTCGCCCTTTATAATTAAAATATCTGCCATATGATTTTAGTAGAAAGCCTAACAGTGGTTAGTAGTTTTCAACCAGCGCTTTCACGCAGCGGCTTGAGTAAAAGAGTTTAATAATAAAGGTAACTTAGGCATTGGCAATTAATGCAGCCTTTGTTACGTTATATCGCACCAGTGCGAAGATGGCTTTTAATTTTAGCCAGCTCGGTTTTGTGTACTGCTGCTTCTCCAGGTGTCGGTGCCGTCTTGATTAGTTCCTTAGCCAACATTCGTTGGCGCAAGAGTTTATTCCTCTTGCCGCTCCTCTTCTTTTTTGGTTTGGTCCTTTTTTGTTGGCGTGCCCTGTACTCAACTATTGTGAGGGAGCGTGGTCCATCGTTTGGATACACCTCTAGAGCTTCTGGTAGGTCCATCGTTTGGATACACCTCTAGAGCTTCTGGTAGGCTCGGTGCATACCTTTACTCGACAGGAGCAGCTTCCTCTAGTCCAACGTCGTTGTTAATACTCATTAGATTTCCCTCGTAGGTGTAGGAGGATTTGACATGCCTCCCACACTTTTATTCTGCTACAGTTGTCCTTGGGCTATGGGCTCTGGCGCGCCGGTGCTGGTCCTCGCACAAGCGGTAACTGTTTTGATTCAGTTTTATTTTATTTTGTTGCATTTATTTCTTTTTGTTTTGTTCGTATTCTTCTCATTAGAAAGAATATCTCGTTTCTGTCTTACTAGACACAATAGACACACATTGTTTCCCGTAAACATTTTTCGCTCGTAATGTAGCGGCAAACTTTAATAACTTTTATAATTTCTTGGTTGGCTCTCTTCTAGCTTCCCTCGCGTTTTTTCAACTTTGTTTCGTCTCCGGATCCAACATAACTGTTACGGTCGCCATGTATTATTTATAGTCCGCCATGTATTATTTATTCTCATTCTCATTTGATAATTAGATGTTGAGCCCAGAAAAATACTTATATTCGATTTTTGTGGACTTCGGCCACGGCAACGTTTTTATTCTTTGATGATCAAAATTAGATTGTCTTACAACAGCTATTCACGGCTGCGCTGCCTGCAAACATTGGCAGCGGCCGTCATGTCTATATCAAAGTATATGCTCACAAATGTATTTGGCTAATAGCAGCGAGAGCGCAAGAGATGTTGTATATGCATTCATTGTATGTGTCTGCACTCAGGCCATGTGAATATGCTGACACTAGCACTCTGAGGCGCGTTCATATTTCGATTGGCCACACGAGTTTAGCTGTCGAGACTTTTGTATTTGTTTAAGTACACTGTAACACAATGTTGGTATCGGTACAATGGGTACTCTCTAGAATGATACATGCATATAACAAGACAAACAATTTGCGCATTCTTCTTGTGGACCTTTTCCTGAAAATGGCTACACACTCTAAGGTCCTAAGTAACAACTCGTACAGCTGTCTTCGTTGTAAACTGACTGATGGCGGAGCGTTGCTATAGGTTGAGCGCAAATGTTCCTTGCGTCACCGCAGAGTGAGGCTTGTAGAATATGTAGCTTCTGGCTGGCTGAGTATGGCTTATTATGCACTAATTCGACAAACATGTCATGAAACCGGGGCCAATCAAGATATTCGCCATTAAACTCGGGAATTCTGACTGGCGGTAAAGATAAATTTAGGCTCATTGGAGAATCGTTTTCTCAAAGCAAGCTCATATTAAGTATATTCTTCATATATTGTCTGGAATTGGCGGCTACCTGCGCCCTAAGCAGTTAGTCGAATTTTGGAAATAAGTCGTGACGGTCATCGCCTCGCGAAAACAAAGTATTCTCAATTAATTATTTGGCACCCAACGCGTTCGTAAGACCCTCGATTCGTCGTCCAGCTAAAAAAATTTTAAAAATAAAAGCGTTCGAGCAGTTTTAAAGAAAATTAAATACGCCAACGTCGCCATACCAGGAACTGGCAGCAACAACATAAGAAAGATCAAGAAAAAGGAAACTACAACGAGCACCAGCAGCGGCAATAACATTTTAATTTAAAAAAAAAATTAAAATTATACCATGTAAGTGGATTGTTCATTGATTTTTTCCCGACTTATCTTATAAAAAAAGTGATTCAGAAATTTAAAATTAAAACAATAATTTTTATAGCATATTCCAAGAGTCTCAGAAAAGAAAAGCAAGTTCAGACAAAATTTCGTAAAATTTTTGTGAAAGAAATTAAATACAAAAGGAACAAAAATTCTTTGTTCTTTGTGTTAAAGAAAACATATGAGTGATAGTGAAATAGAAACGAATTCCAAAAACTCAGAAGCGCGGAAGATTGGCAGGAAAATCCAAACAATTCAAATATGGCAATGACCAACGAGCAGTTAAAAGCCATTGTAGAAGGCGCAGTTGCAAGCGCCCTCGCTTTGCAGGAAAGAAGTTTCGAACAAAAATTACTAGACGTTCAGAAGCGCTTAGGTGGCGTAAATATCAGCACACTAGAAGTAGAAACATATATGGATGCCGATATCAGAATAAGTTTTTCGTGTAGTGAGACCTTAGATATTATGAAGTCGCTGCCGGACTTTGAGGGTAAAAATAAAACGTACGTATCATGAAGAAAAGCGGCGCACACAGCATATAAAGTGTACGAAAAATACGACGGTAGTTCCAAACACTATCAAGCACTAGGATTACTAAGAAATAAAATAAAAGGTTCAGCCAATATGGTTCTTTCGACACACCTGTGAAGCTCAAAGCCATATTAAACCGACTAGATTTTACATACGCAGACATTTAACTT